AATTTTTTTTAGAAACCAGGAAACACCCTCCTCATATAAAGCCGAGAAAAGCTTGTAATGAAATTGCTTGAGAGAACAGCAACTACTTGTTTTAAGATAATTACTTTTTCCTTTTTTGCCGTCTTTTTGAACTTTTCTTACAAATATTCTTCAATTTTACGTACTAATATTTCAGTATGACTGCAAAGTTTGATACTTACCTCCTTGATAGTCTCTTCATCTACACCGTCAACAGGTTCAAGCAACACAAATTTTGCCTCTCGTTCCATAATGCTCTGTAATCAATTTTCTCAGAAAAAAAAGGCAATGAAACATTACAGAGGATGAAGAGTTTGACACACCGCAATCATCTTAATACTTTCGTTATCATTAGTAGACAGCAGTTCAGTGCCGATGAAGCAATCAAATGAAGCTTCACGTTGACTCCAGTAATCGAGTGACGATGTCAACGACTCGTTCCAGCCAAATCTAAAAATATGTTGTTTTTGAACAGTAGCCGCTTAGGTTCTAATTTGATTAGCGGAATCAGCGTCTAATTGCAATTAATTTGCACTTATTGTCATTCCTAAGTGTCAGACCTACCTCACACGTTGATCTTTTTGATTATTTGCCTTAGTAAGTGACGTTCTATAGAAGTTTTCATTCAATTCAACATTCCACACATTGCAAGTGAACTTCTGAACGTAGAGAGCAAATATTTTCAACATTTCAATGAAAAAACAAAACAAACTTCAGCCAAGAGATGCGAGTTGATATGAAGATAAGGCGATCTGCGTCTTGGAGTGAACACATAAGCGGTTCCATTCTGGGGCACTACATCATCATCGAGAACGTTGGAGAAAATCTAAGGGAATATAATCATATCCATGGTATATTTATTTTTACCGCCTTATCAAAGCTTTGTCAAAGCAATCAATCTGGAATGATTTTCTAATGAATACTCTCAACCGTAGTTCAAAGCGAATATTCGTCTTTGAGCAAATTCGTATAACAATTAATTGAATTTGGATGGAAGTGAGATTGGAATTGTATTCGATCGTCCGAATGCTTACGAAACCATCGAATATTCATTTGCTTAAGTATCCGTGAAATTAACAAACATGGATGCAGTCAATTTATGTTCCGGGGAAAAGTTTGAATTATTGGATTATTTGGACATTCGAATAGCAACATTTGAGAATACCATCTATTCTACTAATGCGTACTACATGACCGAGTATTCGAATATTCGACTACTAGGTCATGTCTACTTATTCGATGTTTCGAATAGTAGTCAATATTTAGAATCCTCTCTACTCAAACATTTATATTCGCATTATTTTGAAGGGCAATTTGGATATTTTCTATCTATTTTCCACTATTAATATTTCCATTATATTATTATTATTATAATAATATGTCTGATTTTCCAATATTTCAAGATTATTCAGTATTCGTTCATTCAAAAAGAACCTTACGAATGTACCAACTTATTTTAATTAAAGGAACAGATGAACAAGGCTCGATGCCTCTCGTTTTGTTGCATATACTCTATCACAACTCCTCATTTGGGATAGAGAGATTCTACAATTCAAGCCCCGAATAGATTTGCTTTTCGGCTTCGCTTCATATTTTAGTTAGATACGACTCAGATGCTGCAGGTAACCGACAAACAGCTTACAAAAGGATCTTACAGAAGGGTTTTGGCACGTCCATTACGTGTGTTACCTACTGCAGAGAGGAAATCACCCACAGCGGAAAGTGAGCATTGTTCTAATCAATACAGGGTTGCCGTTGACCAGAATATAACCTCGACGAGCAATAAAGTATCATTTTTCTAACAAACAACATT